GATAAGAGATTAAGTGTTTCTTAATTAAAGATTCGAAAATCGTGCTTGCTGTATTAAGAAAACTAATGGGATGGTAATTAAATGGTAAGTCAGATTGCTCTCCGGAGTTTTCGAAAATAGGGACATCAGATGCTGCTTTCCAGCAGGCTGGAAAACTAGACTGATAAGCACCTCTTAAATAGTTTTGAAAGTATAGAAAAAAGTATTTGTCCTTATTATAGACACTTTTAAAGATTCTTCATAACTCTTAAGAGATTTTTTGGATGAAGTACAAGGTTTTGTAATCTGAGAATTTGGGCTTAGACAAAACCTTTTTACAATGGTTTCTAGCAATAGTAAACAATCTGTTTTCCGAAGAATTGTATTGGCGATAGATATGGAAGTAATGGTTATGATTGGAAATTGCAGCAGCACACAGTTATTGGAAAACCATTTTTCAGCAGGAAGAGGAAAAATTTCTACCCAAGGGCCATCACAAAGAAATTCACGAAAAGAGTCCTAGTCAGCTTTAAGGTAGTTTTATAATAGGTACAATGATAGGGGGATTCTGATGATTAAGAATAATGAAATAATAGTTTTAGAGAGATCAAACTATGATCAGAAGCACCTAAGGATGAATGTGGAGAAAATGAGCACTGACTAGGATCAGAAACAAGACATAAGTTGAGTAGAGAAGGTACATATTTCGGATTGTCTGGAAAGCGAGTTGGAAAGTTGACTATTTGTGTTAGAGATTGAAAAGAGTGAAAAGAAGTGATTTGGAAAGTGGTATAAAACAAAGAGAAAGGTGAATTAGTGATAATTGAAAGCACATAAATAAATAGTTTGTGTATTTAAACCTAGTTTAGTAACTTAGTTACAAATGTAAATGCCAAGTCCAAGCATAGATCTAACCATCAACACTGAGATCACAAGATGAGATAGCTGAACTCAAATTAGTCTCTCAAGGAGCAAGTAGGTTTAGTGAACTTTGCAAGAGGTAAGAAGAAAAGTTATTTCAAGTGCAAGTAGGTTTAGTGAACTTTGCAAGAGATAAGAAGAAAATTTATTTCAAAGACCACAAATATTAGTATATGATAGATTTAGAGAATTTGACAATGATTCATAGTTTTAGGCACTTTAGTCATTTTTAAATTTGTTTAAGTTAAAAATTGACTCAAAGCACAGACAGTACTCAGTACACTATTTAATAATCTAAGTAATTGCATTATTACTATTAACAAACCTTATGCTGTAACAAAAGGCTCCAAATGTGGCAGTAGGACATAAGCAAGATGTACTGGGTTACATGTTACCAGTATAACCTGAATAACCTGACCTGATAAAAAGTTTAAAAACAGTCATCTAGATATACACTTGCACATTACAGTAAGATCATCAGCATACTGTATGTCTACTAGTTTATCATTTTTAATGTTTAAATTATCACAAACTTATTGATATGTTTGTTTTTAGTAGAGTTAACAAAAAAATGTTTACATTGTGTTTAGAGTACGCTGTATTAGGATGTTATCTTAGAGATGTGTTGTATTCTCAAGATGATATTGATGAAGAAGATTATTTTTGTATAGATTTAAAAAAATGGAAGAAAAACTATCAAGTTACAAAAACTTACTGCTCATTCATATCAAAATATCAAGCTACTTTTTTAAATAAAGTTTAAAAAGAACTAGTAAAAAATTATGAATTTGTTAAATTTAATAAACAAAGTTTTCACTGTAACAAATTATTTACTTTTGGGAAATATTATTAAAAAATAAACATTTTTTGTCCATAATAGATTTAGGATATGATAAGTTACACTTAGAATGCCAAAATTCATTTTCAATCCAAATATAGGATAGCAAAAAGTTTTTTCTTAGTCTGTTTTTTTTTTTTTTTTTTTTTTTCATGGAGCATTTAGATTTTGAAAAAAACCCAAATTATTTTGTTTAAACATAGTTGAAAGAGCTGTGTTTTACATATTTTTCTAACATTCAAGCAATATCTGTAATAGTTACAACAATAGGACTTTAGGCTAATGATGTCAATACAATGGTCAGCCATTTAAAATTATTGATAAGATGTCAAAATTATTCTTTTTTATTATTATATTTTATATTATTATATTTTATTTTTAATTATTTTTTATTATTCATTATTTTTAAATGCTGCTTTTTTTTTAAATTTATTCATATTTGTACACAGATATATTCTTTATAAATTTTATTACTTCTTTTTTTTTAAACTTATATATTTTTTAAACCTTATATTTATCGATATATATTTTTATTCTTTAAAAATTTTATTAAGTTTTAAACACAAACAACCAAAGTATAAAACAAACAGTAGATGTAAAAGACGGATTTGAGCTAACCCCGAGCTCATCCACATCACCTACTCAAAACACATGTAGACCTTGATATATTGATGTTTAAAAACTCAAAATATATTTTTATATTGTTATTTTATATTGAAAGCTAAATCATTTTTATTGATTTAGTTTGTATAATCTTGTTTGTATGAATATTGTTTGTATAATTGTATGCATACATTGTTTATAAAACACAGTTGATAAAAAAATTAATATGAACAGTAAAAACAATTAATGTAAAAACAAGATACCTAAGTTAAAAGTGACAAATAAGTCAGACTGAGGAAAAAATATAATTATTAGAAAATTTTAATTTTCTATTAAGTATATTTTTCTTCAGGGAAAAAAATATACTTAATAGAAAATAATTGGGGCAAATAAAAATTTCCATTATATCAAGTAAAATTTAATTTTAATTTTAGTTTAAATTTGTTATATAATATATACTAATTATTGTTATATTGTTTTTCTATCACTATTGATTATAAATATTAGTTATTGTTTTTCTATCAATATTATTAAATGATATTTTAATAAAACTTTAAATCAGCCTTCAAGAGATAATGTGTCTTAGAAAACTGTTTAATTGCATTTAAATTTTAGTGTTTTTAATAATTTTTTGATTTTCATGGTAACACAATGCAAATAAATCAGACTTTAAATAGAAAAACTTTGTAAGATTTCTTATATTATAGGGTTTGTTACTTATAGAATTATAAGATGTATCTTGTGTATCAAAAATCATTAAAATCTGAGATTGTGTTGAGCATAAGTTTAAGTGACCTAAAATTTGAGCATTTTTACATAGAAATCAAATTTAAAATAACATGTGTTTTCTTTTCAATGTATTAGTGTTAATTGATAATTAATACTGATAATATTTCTAGTTATAAAAGTAAAAATACCTTCCTAATTTATTTAAAAAGATTACCTTAAATTGAAAACTAGTATTCAATATTTTCAAACAAATATTTTTTAATTTACAAATTAAACTGTTTTAACCAACATTCATGAGGAAGTCCTCTTATGATTTAACAACAGTCAGGTGAATATGTCTAAACATAAGTGTCATAAAATGACGCGTAGGAGTTTGCTTTCTCCATCTTTACAAAAACAATTTATTTCCTCGAATGAGTTTACAATAATGTATATAAAAGTTGATAGGATGGTGTATAAATTATAATCTGATTAACTATCAATTCAATTTACTAAAGATTTGGAGTACAAATATTAATAGTACAAATATTTTCAGTCTAGTTATGATAGTCCGATATAAAAGTAGTTTATTTATTATTATTATTATTACACATATATGTATATATTAATATTGTATATTTACTCAAAATATATTAGATATCAAATATTAAAATAAGACGTTTGTATAATACATGTTGGAGGTGTGTAGTCAAGACTAAAATAATAAAATAAATTTAAACTTCACAAATATGATATCAGTGGCAGGCGCAAGATTTTTTTATAAAAATTATTTAGGTTTTTTTTTGTCAAAAAAGAATGTTTTCCAAAAATTTTATTCATTGGAGCCTGGAAACAAAATTCCCAAAAAAGTTTAAACTCCAAATGAGTTAATAAAATATTTAAGTTCTAAATTTAAATTTTCGTATGTAATAAGTTTTTTGAAATTTTCATGTGAAAAGTACTGGCTATGTTAGAGTCAAATTCTTTTTTAATAATTATTAAAAACTATTATTGCCATAAAATATGAGACTGGCTTTAATATTATTTTAAACTGTATTTTGCACTTTTATTGTCAAAAAGTACTAAACATAAAGACCTTATTAACAACAAATTGTTTCAGTCACCTTCACTAGCCACAGTCACTTCAAACATTTGTGATCTTTAAATCAACTTTTTATCATACCAAAAATGATGCAAAAAGGTCTGATGCAAAAAAGGTCCATTAATACAGGTTACTACATCAAATATTTTATCTCAATATCTGTTTCATTATCTGGTTAATTGATTGTTAAACATGCAAACTCTTTACAGCTTATGGTCCTGATAACATTGTCAACTGTTACAACATTGTCAAGTGTTACATATCCTGTTACAGCTTCATAAAAGTGTTCTCCAGAGCTTTTTTCATTTGTCTCTAATATATTCAGTATGTTCTTATTTGAACTTTGTTTTTCTGCCTGCTAGAAAATGACATGGTGACATGATTGACATTGTTCCAATTTTGTTATTCTGCTGACTTGTTAATTGTTGTAACAGAAAGATTTTGTTATGAAAGATTTTAACATGTAAAATGGAAGCAGAGTGGAATTTAGTCATACCAAAGATTTTTATCTTCATGCGGTGTAGCTTAAAAAGTTTTTTAAAATTATTGAATTATTCCTTTCGACCTCCAGTATTAAAGTTGTCCATGATAAGCAACATTTGCCTTCATTTCCAGTAACGGTAATAATTTTCCAATTTGTTCTTGTATGGAGTCCTGCTATCATATTTCGGCTGGTTCTTCTAATGATGCCTTTACTCTTTTAAAAGTAAATATAGTAGTGACCCCCTGTTTCTGAGGAGGTAAATATATATATAAAAAAAAGTATATATATAAACATAATTTATTTACTAAATATAATAATGATGTTTGTTATTATATTAAGTTTTTTTGTACTTTTATATTTATTAGATTGGGAAATCTTGGCTCTCTAACATTTGATGGTGGAATTCACAAGTTTCTTGTTGAAAACCATAAAAGGCTTGGTCCAATGTTCAGCTTTTATTGGGGCAAAGAACTGGCTGTTAGTCTAGCTTGTCCAATTCTTTTTAAGGAGGTTGCCACTCTATTTAATCGACCAGGTTTTTGCATAAACTTACATTATTTTTTTTATTTTTTTATTTTTTTGCAAGTCAGGCTTGGTCGCGAAGCGGGAGCGATCGCTCTCGAATACTGAACACGGAAATTATATTTAGTTGCAAAAAACTGTCCAGTTTTTTAGTCTTTTTGAGAACATTTAAATTTATGTACGAAACAAAAAAATTTTGTTTTACAGACATACATGGAAGCATAAAAAACTTGAATGTTCTTAAAATATGCGGATGCGGTGCGGATGAATAAAAAGATTATTTGCGAACACTAAAAACCCGCCAAATTAACGAACAAACTAATTCTATTGGTTCAAAAAATACGCTGACTAAACGAAATAAAGTTTTGAGATTTCTAGCATATATTGTTTTAAGAATATATTATCAATACTATGGCTTCTTCTCCGAGCCACATCTGCAAAGCCGTAAATCTTATAAACTAATATTATTTGTTTACAAAAATAAATGTTTTAAATATATAAATTATAGATTTTATTAGTATATTTTTATTTTTTATTTAAAAAGTATGTAAATGTAATTTTGTGTATCTGTTTTTTATCGTAATGAAATCATTTAAAGCAATTTTTATGATTTAATTTGCAAACAAAGAAGAAAACTCGTTATACTTTTTTCTGCTTTAAATGCTAATTAAAATTAAAAAGCCTTCTCGCTAAACATCATCAGCGATATTGTTAAGCAGTTTCGCTTCCTCGTCATAAAATATTTTTAACCTTTTTAATTGATTTCTATCTAATTAATTTGATTTCTATAGTAATTCAATGATTTAATTATTTCATTTGTTTATCTTACTAAGAAGAATCGTTTCAAAATGTTAAACTTTTCAAACTACGTGAAACATAAAATAGGTATTAAAAAAATTAACTTTTTTGTTTATAAAATTATTTAGCGTAGATAAAACTAAAACTTGCAAACTTTGCTAAATAAAGAACATTTGTTTCCTTTTTAAACAATCGTGAGATGTTACTTTTTATAAAAAACCTCGCTTAATTTTATAAAAAAATTATAAAAGAGCGATGTTTTGAAAATATTTGTTCTAAACGTAATTTATTTTGCTTAAAGTTATTTTCGCGTTAAAAGTTATTTTTCTATTTTCTTTTTTTTTTTTTTGTAATTGTCTCATATCGGTCCAATTAATCTATTGCGCATTTTATTTTCCTTTTAAAATGTTCTCAAAACGGCTAAAAAATCTGGCCAGCTTTTCGCAAATAAATATTATTTTCGTGGTCAGCAATCAAGAGCTATTGCTCCTGCTTCCCGACCAAGTCTGGCAAGTGTGTTTTATTATAATGCTTTAGACACAGTTGTCTTTTTTAAACCACTGTATTACCCACAGAGTATATTGGTACTGGGTTCTATACAAAATTATTTCTTGTTTTTAAATATTTGTTGATTGTTCTACTTTATTTTCATTAATTGTTTAAATTTTTGTTTAGTAAATCAATTTAAATTATTTCTTCCATTGATTGGAAAAGAATGTGTTCAATATGCCAATGAAGATCGTGGTAAAAAGTTGCGCCAAATAAATGATCGACATTTCAGTCATTCATCAATTAAAAGTTATTTTAAAGAATTCAAACAAGTACTGTTTGTATATATATATATATAATATATATATATATATATATATATATATATATATATATATATATATATATATATATATATATATATATATATATATATATATATATATATATATATATATATATATATATGTATATATGTATATATCTTATACTGCTGAGTTAATTGAGCATGATGATGTCATACTCACCTAACGTCAAATAGCCTGCTGTTGGGGGCTTCAGTATATACATCGACTGACTAATAGCCTGACTCGCAGTGGAGTGCTGCTACATCGACTGAGGGTTTGGTATGGGTCAGCAACCTTTTCATTCATTATTCTTCGTTTTCCCTCATTGTTTTCTAAAAGCGCTCAATTTAGGCTAGCAAAAAAAGTGAGCAATTGCGCATATAAATATGCGCAATTGCTAGTAGATAAATAGTAGATAAATAGTAGATATATATATATATATATATATATATATATATATATATATATATATATATATATATATATATATATATATATATATATGTGTGTCTATATATATATATATATATATGTATGTATATATATATATATATATATATATATATATATATATATATATATATATATATATATATATATATATATATATATGTATATATATATAGATATGTATATATATATATATATATATATATATATATATATATATATATATATATATATATATATATATATATATATATATATATATATATATTATATATATATATATATATATATATATATATATATATAGATATGTATATATATTAGGGTGGGTCATAAAATTTTTTTTTCATGTTACAGGCTCTAAACATTGCTAATAGTTATTAATATTGATACTATCAAATATGAGAATTATTGTGATAGATTTAAAGGGCGCAACTTTATTGGGAAAATTACCGGTACCCTAATATTTTAGAGAAAAAAAGTTTTTCAAAAGTAGGTCAACCTGGTACTCAAAAGAAGCAAAATTTTAAAAAAAATTCAAAAGTAATAATCATTATTAAAAAACATGTAAAAATGCACCTTTTTCACTTTTAGTTAAAAAATTATAGTTATTATGCAATAAAATCTAAAATAATAATTTTTATATGAATATGTATATATATATGTATATGTATATATATATGTATATGTATATATATATGTATATGTATATATGTATATATATACACACACACTTACTAAAGCGTGTTTTGATAAGCATTTGCTCACTTTTTCTGCTTACCTTAAGCTATACCGTTTTTTTCGAAAAAGAAGAAGATAAAACGAAGAATGATAAATGAAACGATTGCTTCCCCATCCCAAACCCTCAGTCGATGTAGCAGCACTCCACTGTGAGTCAGACTAGTTGTCAGTCGATGTATGTACTGAAGCCCTCAGCAGCAGGCTATTTCAGTATGACGTCAGATTGCCTCTTTGCTTACCTTAGTACGCAATACTATTTGTATATATATATATATATATATATATATATATACAGTGTATATATATATAGTGTATATATATACAGTGTGTATATATATATAGTGTGTATATATATATATATATATATATATATATATATATATATATATATATATATATATATATATATATATATATATACATACATACAGTATCGGACAAAACAAGTGCAACCAAATAATGCTAATTTAATTCAGCATGAGGTAACAACATCTTTCAGGATATTTTTATACATGAAACGGTCCATTATTCCATCGATTCGATGTATTGGATCTAAACCGTTAGCAGAAAAACACTCCCAGACCATTACATTATCTCCACCATGCTTCACGGTCTTATGACAGTAACGTAAATCGAGGCGTTTTCCGGCTGGTTGACGTACTCAGCAAATGCCATCGCTCCCAATGATGTTGACCTTCAATTCATCACTGAACAGGAAGTTCGTCATTTCTGCACATTCCAGTCAATGTGAGATGTAGCAAACAGGAGTCTTTTCTTCTGGTTCTTTAGTGAAATCAGCGGTTTCTTTGCAGGACGTTGAGAAAACAATCCAGCTTCAACAGCACGTTGTCTGATTGTTTGGTCCAATACAGGCAGCTCTAATTGTTTTTGTATCTTGACTGATGATATCTAGGGATCCTTCTTGACGGATCTGACGATCATAGAATTCTCTCTAGAAGTGGTGGAATGCGGTCTTCCACCTTTATTATCTGCTGCCAACTTCCCCGTAGAACGATATTTGGAACATAGTCTTGATACGGTCCATTTTTTCACGCGATGTTTATCACAAATACTTTTTTGTGACATTCCACTTACGTAATTGCCAATAATTTTCTTTCTTAGTTCCAATCCAAGATTGTTGGGACCCATTTTTGCACTTGAAGTCATAAAAATAATAAAAATAAATAATCACGCTTCTCACGGCGCACCGTGTTACACTTCTGGATACTTCCTTTAATTATTAAAAAAATTCTGTGACGTTGACACGGACCAGACTTAAGAAAATGAAACAAACCAAAAAAGTTGCACTTGTTTTGTCTGCTGCAAAATGGCACTTGTCAACAAAATTCTGTTTGTGTGCTGTCACCTGTCAGCTGATTGCTCATGTCATGGCATGCTGTGACTCCAGACTCCTGAACTGTTTGCTGTGGTAGTATAGTTCGTTTCGTTTTTAAGACATGTAAAATTAGGAACACCTTTTAGCATTGTTTGATGTTGGTTGCAAATGTTTTGTCGATACTGGACATATATATATATATATATATATATATATATATATATATATATATATATATATATATATATATATATATATATATATATATATATATATACATATATATACACATACATTTATATATTTATTTATTTTGTTATAGAATTTATATATAATTGTTGTAGAAATATTATATTTATATATATTTGTTGTAAAATATATAGGGAAAATTTATGTACCGGGCCACCCTACTTATAGTTTACTACTACTAGTAAACTATAAGGTTTTAAGTTATTCTCAGTCATGTGATTAATTATAAAAAATGTTATTTTTTAATCCTATTTTGATTCTCAGAGAGTGTTGCTATGGCAAGTCATAATTAGAAAATGATAATCGTTTTGATGATCTAAAGTAAATTTTTGCCACAAATATCTTAGATTGTTTTACAATCGTAGCGGAAATGCTTTTCTATAAGTCTTTCTATATTCTTTTTATATTATATATTTTCTCCTTAAGTTCTTCTTACATTTTTCTATATTATGTATTTTTTTATTTAAGTACTATATATACATTTTATACAATCTTACACTAAGATTCCTCTCAATCCAGGTTTGTTAATTGATGGGATTTTTTATGAGGCTATTAAGGTCATGTAGTTTGCTTGTACCTAGGGCCATATGTGCGTTTCTTTGATAAAAGTTAGTTAATATGATAATGAGGTAGATTGTTAGATTTTAATTGGTGCAAAAAATTTTAATTTCTTGCGGTTGTTTTGGGTTTACCATTTTATACGTATTTTGTATTTTATACGTGTTATTTATCAATTTTGATCAGAACTATTTGTCAATTTTGTTATTTATTTAAGTGTTGCAATCAAGTAACACTAGATAAATTTGTTGAAAACAATCTAAGATTAAATAAATTTTTAATCAAATTTATGTGTTTGTAGTCAATTTATTATGGAGTTACACCTAATTTTCAGATAGTGGCCCTAGGTACAATAGCTAGTGGCCCTAGGTACAAACTATCCTTCCTGTAGAACTTTGGATGTATATAAAGTGCTAATAAAACTAAAATAAATCTTAATAAAATACCATAAATTTAAAATGATAAGTAATACAAAAAGTATAAATACTCCTTTATATGAATTTATTTAGATATATAATTTTTTTATATATAAAATTAGTAAGTATTATATCTGAAATAAAAGTTAAAATGATTTTATATTTGATTATGATTACAATAAATAATATTGTAGAAAAATCCTGCCTATAGAGTTATTTTACTGTTTTTTAAAGAGTTATAAAAAAAATTTTTTTTTTGTTGATCTAAAAAAATTTTATATTATATATATATTTTTTACTAAAGGTTGGTGCGGAGCTTTGCTCCAAATGGTCATCAAGCGAAAATACACGCATTCCACTAAATCAGAATATGTTATCAATTGCTTTTAAAACAATTGTCAAAACATCATTTGGACCAGACTATTTTAAAACAAACGAAGAAATAACAGAGATGCAAGCTTTAAAAGATTTTGTAAGTAACAATAAAATATTTTAATTTTATATTTTACTATTTTATATTTGTTATTTTTTTTAAATCTAATCAAATATTTATTTTTATAATTAACTTATACTAGGGAAGATCGGGCTAGTTGCAAAATTTTTTTTTAAGATTGCAACTTACTCTGCAAGTTGTAAAGTGAGCGGGGTAAGTTGTAACAGAATACTTCGAAAGTATAAACCTTGCAGAGTTTACTGAAAAATTACTAGTTTATCTGTAATTTCTCTTTAGCAACAAAAATTTATAATTACAATAAAAATTTGTAATTACAATATAAGTTTAGTAATTTATTTGAGCTGCAATACTTTTTGGCAATACTTCAAATACACCTGAATTGTTTAGTAAACTGATAATTACATTCAAAGACTTGAAAGACTAAAGAAATTAAATAACAAGGGTTATTATTTAAACTAATTTATTATTTTAATTCCTAAGCGTTTTTGAAAAAAAGTATTATCTCAGTCAATCAACATAAAATTAGTTTAGAAAAATGCAAGTTTTTAGGATATTTAAGTTCAGTTTTTAGGATATTGAAATTATTTTATTTAAGTATTAAAGAAACTAAAGAATTACATTTTAATTCAATAAATTCTTGAATGTTTTTTTTATTGATCTACCTAAAACTAATTTCCTTGTTAAAAAAATGTCCATTATTTTAGAAATAATTAGAAAAGTGCGTAAAACCGATAAAACTTGCAGTCATTTTATAATTCAACTTGCCCCAAGCAATTTGTTGCAGTTTACCCCATAGGCATTATGATAACTCTAAACAGTGTATATAATTATTTATGTTAAATAAATATACTTTTCTTTAGCTTTTTGTGTTTGAAAAAGATTTTTTTAACTTACAATTGATTTATTATGATTATATACCTCTTTGTTTACAGTAAAACCCAAAAAAATATTTAAAACAAATTTTATATTGAAAAAAAAATTATTATTAACTTGTGAATTTTTTTATTTAATACTGTAAGTTTTTATATAGTGTTATATAAAGGCAGAATGCTTTAGTTCTGCTGTCTTTGGGAGATGTATTTAGATCAGACCCATGTATTAGAGATGGAATACTAGATTTACCTTTGTTAATGAGATTGTTGGAGATTTTCTAGAGGTTTTCATAACCTAAGTGTACTTAATGAATATAGGCATCAGGCAGAACCTTTAGATTACCTTCTTGCATTCATTCTTACATTACCTTCTTGCAAAATTAGAAAGACAATTTTTCCCAATTGAGTTGTTCTTTTGAAAAAAATGAAAGGAATGATTACAATTTGAAATTGCTGTTGCAAAAAAAAAAAAAAAAAAGAGAGAAAAACATGGAATATAATGAGAATTGACTTAAAACTGATTAGAAAGAATAAAAACTTCCATGCCTGCCTGAATCTTGGAGATTATACGAGTCCCAATTATTAACAAAAGACATCAACCCAAAAGGCTGAACAAAATCACAAAGGGAATTTTAGCTGCTTTAAGATAGTAGTAAGAAGTGAGTCCTAAGTATGATAAGTTTATATATATATATATATATATATATATATATATATATATATATATATATATATATATATATATATATATATATATATATATATATATATATATATATATGTATGTATATATATATATATATATGTATATATATATATATATATATATATATATATATATATATATATATATATATATATATATATATATATTGTAGGAATTATCTTAATATTTCCAGTAAGAGTGCTCAATACAACATGTTATATAATTAGTAGAGCAAATATAGTGAAAACTAAATAATTATTAAGATATATTTCAATTACATAACTAAAAGTTTCACGCAATAGCGATCATCAGATGTAACAATAACAAAAAAGTAACTGCAAAAATTATATATAAAAAATGCTATGGATGCTTTGATGACATTAAAACTTTATTAGAAATTTATTTTCATGGCGATATTTTGACGCAAGCTCGGTTCGTTTGTTAAGCAAAATTATATATATTATATAATTTTTATATAAATATTATATTATATATATATATATATATATTATACATACATATATATATATATATATATATATATATATATATATATATATATATATATATATATATATATATATATGTATATATATATATATATATATATATATATATATATATATATATATATATATATATATATATATATATATATATATATATATATATATATATAATATAATATAATATATATATGTAAATGTGTATTTAGATGACATCTCTAACATCACACTGAAATAACCTGCTGCCAGGGACTTCAGTACATACGTTGACTATCTTATAACCTGATGCCGAAAAAAGGTTTGCTGCTACATCAACTGAGGTTTTGGCATGGAGCAGCTATCTTATCTTTCATTCTTCTTCTTTTTTTTTCCCCCTGAAAATCCTATATATAGGTAGGAAAAACTAGTAACAATTTGTTATCTAAATACATTATAGTAGTATAGTACAGTAGATATACATACAATATCAATAATATAGACAAGGCAGAACCACAAATGACATCTTATTGCTTCCCAGAGGTTACTGGATATAAATGGGAGTGTTGTTTATCAAGAATGACTTTGATTAGCACTGCGATGAGAAAGGAATACTTTAGTCATTATAAAAATTTTTACATATATAAAGAGATTATATTTACATAGACACTATATAAAAAGAACTTATCAAGAAGATGAGCAAGCCAGACCTTTTTGAAGCTCTTTGATATGTCAGTAACAAAATTATAGGAAATGTTTTTTGTAAACAGTTCTACTTTATTCTTAGGAGGCAGGAAAAAATCATGCGGTGAGACATAAAATCAGACCCATATGAGAGATGGTATGATAAACATTTTTTTGTTGATAATAAAAGATTTAAAAAAAAACTTTTGTTAATTTTTTATGAAATTATATATAGATTTAAGAATAACACAGTTTTAGCACTAGGCAACATATTTTTGTGTAAATATAACAATTTTTACAAATTGTTGCTAGTTTTTCCTACCTTTATAGGATGCAGCATTTTCAAAAAAAAATAAAGAATAACAAAAGAAAAGATTGTTTCCCCATACCAAACCCTGATATTGTTGTGCCAGGAGCTGTTCTACCATCTAAACATCTTTTCTCTAAATGTGCTAGATTTTGGTAAATATCCTCCTTCAAAAATAACTTTAAGCCTTTGCCAGTTATTTTGGTTTTACAAAAAGAGTACCTTAAAATAACATCAAAAATCTGCCCATTAATTATTTGCTTTAGACTTTCTTGACAAAATACTTATTTAACAGCCTCATCAATGTCATTTTAGGGGAATTTACAATGGCTGGTAGCAAAAAACACCCATTCATTCATTCATTCAGCATTTAAATCAAAATCTTTACTGTGATGATAAAGATTAATAACGTTTTTAAATTAAGCTGCACAGCCATCAGAAAAATACATCTGATAGATTTTTTTTGATACAATTAGTTATTCTTGAATCTTATAAACAAATCTTGTGTCATGATTAACATCTTCTGAAAGGTAGCAAAAAGAAAATTGTTTAAGAAACGTTTTCTCTTGAAAGTAAATCACAATTATAAAAAGTGAACACTAACTTTTGCTTCCTTGAATTGAACTTTATTTGAGACAAAAAGTTGATAATTTTCAGCATAATATCTTAAAACTAAGCATGCATTTTGGTTTAGATTTTCTTTACAGTTTTTCAAGTATCTACCTTTTTTTATTATATATAAAAGTGTGGTTGTCAATGCTGTCTCATAAGAAATCATTAAATCCATCTAGTGGCAATGATTGTAACAGTAATATCTTACAGTCAGTACTTTGCCATTGCTTAAATGTTACATCTTCTATCTCATGGCTTATAAACTCTACTGCGCCTAATATAAGCAGTAAACAACTTTTTAGTGTGTGAATAGCTTATGTTAGGCGCAGCACAAACTCCTCGTTCAAAGAGAACAAAAAATTAAAAGCATAAAATCTTTAAACCTTTTATTCCACATAACTGCATCAATTAGAACTTTTGTATTTTGGTGATCTATGCATGTACAAACATTGTGAGTACCTAATTCATTAGTTGTAATGCACCACTTAGGTTTCAGAGTACAACAGTTGTGCTGTTTGTTTCTGCTAATAAATAAGTTTTACCAATATTATTAGTTGTGTTAAAATAATATTGTTAGCAATATTATGCAAACAAAACCATTTTTAATATTATGCAAACAAAACCATTTTTCAGTCTATAGTGTTGTTTTTTATTTTGCAATATTTTGTTGTTTTGGAACACTTTTTAGTTTGATTGGTGTTATCCTAAGCAATTCTATAGAGGTATCAAACTTTCCTTTTTTCTTACTTTTTGATTCCTATTCTGCTAACTAAAATCTTCATTAATTTCTACTGCTTTTAACATTTGCTGCTGAACTTTCAACGTTATGGTAAGTATGCATTATTTTTTTTATAAAACATTAGTACATGCATCATGTACATCATCATTTTTTATAGAACATTAGTACATGCATCATTGTGTGTATGTATGTGTGTGTAATATCATAGAATCATCATACATTGCCATATAAAAAAATTTGATTAAGTCCTAAAATTAAATGAAAATTTAATTATGAATCTCTCATACTTATCATAATTAATAAATCTTAATAAAATATATTTCTATAATAAATGTTAGACTAGCTTTTATAGCATTTTTTTTTACTTTTCTGTTTTCCAAAAGGGTTGCAACACTTTGTAATTTTTTTTTTGAATATGAATAAAACCTTATTTTCTAGAAAATCGGGCTTTGTGGCAATAAATTTTGAGAATTTTTCAATTCTTACATATCTCCATATTCAATATATTTATTATTTATAATATCACTAGCTAAAGAATGACTAAATAATAAAATTCTTGCATATGCTGTATGGTTTTAAAGACAATCTTAACTCAAACTTTCAACTTGCAACAATTCTACTACAAACAATTTACTAAGTTTAAAATACAAAAAAAACAATTTGAAAACTCAAAAACATTTTTTTTTTCATGTTTCTAAATTGTATTATTACTATTAATTCATTTTTATATAATTAAAAAAATCTGGGGAGCAGTGATAAATTGCACCTCCCCTTCCTTGGGATTTCCATGATTATGAATATTTCTTAACTCTTTCGCACCTATATTTAATATTTGTAAACAGTAAAAATAAAAATACTATACTGAAAATGATATATTACAGATAAAAGGCATCATATTTACACCCCATAAATATATATTTTAAAAAGATAAATAAATAGAGACTTTTTTTAAAAAATGAAATACCAATGATGGCGGATGCAAAGATCACATCACTTTTGCCAATTTTTTAAATATTTTTTTACATAAAAAAAAGAGTCTGGCTTCATACCTTAAAAAAAGTTAATATATTACTTATCAAGTGCTTAAGCACTTAAAAATCTTTAAGATATCAATATTTATCAACAAAGCCAGGACCATAAAAATTTAACTAAATATAATACCACAAATAACAGTTTTATACCATGAAAGGCATCAAATTTGTGTTGAAATACAATAAATCTTTAATACAAATAAAATAAGAGTTAGTAGTTATATATTTAAAATAGTGAACACAACAATTTACATTCCAAAACTATATATTTTTCAAAAGATAAACTCATAGACATTATGAACCTTTAAAAAAAAATTAAAATGCCAGTGATAGCGGACATTATAATTTTGTGAATTTTCAAAAAAAAAGAAATTTAACCAAAATCAAACGCTCTAAAAAAACTGTCAACTTAGGGGTTGTTTACAAACTACGTCACTAAATTTTCAACCATTTAAGACCCCTCCCTTCTCCTCGTCACAACATTGTAATACTTCAGTAACAAGTTGCATATGAGTTGTCAATAAACCACTAACATCCCTTCTCCTTCTCTGCTCCCCCCCCCTCCATCCCTATAGTGTAACGTAATTTATGGACCCCTTGTTTTTATTATGTAGCTTTAAAAGTTAGTAGTTTATTTTTGAAAATTTTTGAAAATTAAAAGTTAGTAGTTTATTTTTGGCTAATTTTGAAGCTGAGCCTTTAAAGCATAAAATCAAGTAGTTTTGATTAATGACTCTGCTAAAAAAACCCTTTAATTATTGATTTATTTCTACAGGGTCGCTAACGACCCGTTTCGGTGCGAAAGAGTTAAGCTATTTATTGAATAACACTACATTGAAGTTTTAATTAAAACAATTGTTTTAAAAAACATTTTATTTCCTTAGTTACAAAATTTTTAAATTTTGTAACTAAGGAAATAAAATTCTGAAAAGATATTATTTATTACAAAGACAATGCACAAATTGTTTTTAGGTAGAAGATAAAGTTATGATATACAATCAACATTTTTCCAGGGATTTTGAGTGACACCTCCATTTTAACTCCAAAAATCAATAAATTACAAGTCAATTATTTTAAATGAAATTAGACAAAAAAGACTTTTCTTGAAATATTATGTCCTAGAGTGGTATTTTTAATTCCTTGAACAAAAATCTATTTAAATTTCAAATTTTCGGAAAATCCTTCTAACCATTTTCAAAATATTATATGTCAAAGTTGCTTTTTCTGTTTAGATTATTACAAAAATGCTGAATCAGCATTATTTCAACTGACAATATCTCAACAACCCATGTATATTTTTAGCTAAAAATTTTGCAGTTATCATTTATTTCATATGGACTGCAAGTGATGCAAAAATAAAACAATTATTATGGTTTAAACTGATTTTAACTAACTTTTAAAACATTTTAATTTCCTACTTTTTTATTTTAACTAAACATGTTAAATAATGTTTTTCAAATTTTTTTTATGTTAAGTTAATTACGTTAAACTGATAAAAAAGAAAGTGTCTGTAAAAAATGATGGCATAAATTAACATATGAAAAAGTGATATTTACTTTTCAATTGAGTTACATATATGTTAGATTTACATATAATTACATTAATTATATATTAGAGTTACATTTAATATTACATATATTTGTTTCTAAAAACACAAGAGAAAATAGAATTTAAAGCTTTGATTGTGTGTAAAACTGTTCATTTTATATGTTTACAGTATGTGTTCATTTATTCAAATATGACAGAATTCAATATTGATTGCCTATGCAGGAACATTGAATTTAAAAAGCTTATTCAAAACTGTATGTGATATGCAAAATCTTAACTGTATACTTCATAGTTATGATATTTGCGCAGGTGTTAACAGCATCTTGTGTCAGGTCAGGTGTATGGTCTTCATGATCACCCTGCTAATGGTACATGTAACCCAGTGCAACCTGTTCCATGTCCTGCTTGTGGGATTCACTTTATAAGCAAAGGCTGGAGTGAGTTTGCTTGAGGCTGAGGCTGGAATGAGTTTGCTGAGGCTGGAATGAATTTGCTTCTTGTCATCAGTATTATTTAAAATCAGTTATGCCTTTAGTAATATATAAATGTATATTTATTTATTTACTTTTTGTGTGTGTCTTTTATATAGTTGGCAGTGCCTTAGTTACTGTCTAAACTCACCTATAATCTACTTTATATGTATGTTTGTGTTCTGTCTGAATCTCTGGGGTGGCATTGGTTCACCCATAAACTACTTTATGCATGTATATGTTCTGTTTAAATGTTTAAATCTGTTTTGATGCAGTGTGAGCTCATTTACTAACTATTTTTTTTAGATAATTACAACTACTTTTAATTACTCCAGGTCAGGTCAGGTTCAGGATCATCATGATCACCCCGCTACTGGTATAATGTAACCTAGTATTACCTGCCCCATCCCCTGCTGCCTTGTAGAGTGTGCTTTTTGCGACAAAGGCTAGGAGAAACAAACTTAAAAATCCCCTGTCTTGGGACTCTTGGTTGAGTTAAGGCTAGAGATGGTGTCTCGATAAAAATACTTATCTTGGGGAAATGTTAATTGCATCCAGCTACTGTCTTGTAGGAAGCCTCAACAAACGGCTTTTTATTACTGCAAGAAATCGTAAAAAGGTACTATCAGATACTAAGCTCCATTATTCTCAGTTCATTAAATCTCGTATCTTATCTCAGAAGTTAGGCTCTAGAGACTTATGGAAAATTTTTAACAGCGTCATTAACAAAAGTAGGTCTAACATTCCATCTATTATTTATGGGATTGATACTATTTTCAAAGAACTTTTCTTCTAACTTGACTCTCAAAACTTATGGCCATTCTCTTTCTTCCATTCTAGTTAAATAGATTAACCCATTGTTAGCAACTGCAAACATTGGTTTAGATATCTCAGCAACTGCAAACATTGGTTTAGATATCTCAGCAACTACAAACATTGGTTAAGATATCTCAGCAACTACAAACATTGGTTTCGATGTCTCAGCAACTGCAAACATTGGTTTAGATATCTCAGCAACTACAAACATTGGTTTAGATATCTCAGCAACTACAAACATTGGTTTAGATATCTCAGCAATTACAAACATTGGTTTAGATATCTCAGCAAATGCAAAATGAAATTTTAATTGAGATTTTTTATTAATTTTAGTTAATTTAAAAATTTAATTTAAAAAAAAAGATTATAAATTGAATGAATTAAAATCTAATTAAGTCTCGATCTGTCTTCAAATTTTGATATTGGTTTCTATTCAAATTTGTGTTTTTTTTTTAATTTACTTTCAATTTTTTTTTTTCTATTCTATTATTGAAAAGATATTGTTATTGTCATTTTTTCTCAAATCTTTTAGTTTTCTAGGGACCATACCTTTTTTATAGACAAATTTTACTGTTTAGTGCTTTGCTGAAATGGATAAACATTTACGGGGAGATTATCCTGAGGTCAACAGTAAAAGAGAAAACGATTTTAAAGCAGGTTTTTGTGTTTTAATTTTACCCATATTTAAAATTTAATTTAAGTTTTAAGATTTAGGATTTAATTTAATTTTAGGGAGTAGGGAATTAGATAGGCTAACTAATATTTAAAATCACACTGCATAGCCATATTAGGAGCTATTTCCTTTAAGTCACTAAATTATAAAGGCTGCCCTCATTGAGTTTTCTGACTGTTTTTCTTCCTAATATATATTTTTTTAAAGTGTTTGGCATTATATATTAGCAAGCTGAAATCAAGTTTATAACATAAATATACTTTGTAAAATGTTTACAGCTCTAATGGGTGAGATAAGCCTAACTCAGCCTGCCCTGCATCTCATCCTACTCTGTTTTTATCAAATTAATTTTTGATGTAATTCAATGTAAAAATAATTGTATCATAAGTATTTAAGCCACACAAATATAAACATAAACATTTACATTTATGTTACATTTACATTATTTTCAGCATCAAATATAGTGTACATGTATATTTTCAGCATCAAATATAGTTTACATGTATATTTCATGTGCTGTTTAAGAAAAATATTTAAAAATGGTTTTAAAAAAATACAGTAATTAAAAAAAAGACAATTTTTTTTTTTTTTTTTGCCATTAATATGCTATAAAACATTTAAACGTTTTTTTTTTTAATTTATTTGCTATAAAATTATTTTTTTTAATTGTGATTTAAAATTTTATACATTTTTTTTAACTTTTAACTTAAATAATCAGTAGGGCTTTCTGACAGAAAGCCTTTACATACTAAAATCTAAAACCCAATTTTCTCAGAAATACAAAAAAATGGACTTAAAGCCTACTGGTTTTTGACTGGTGATATATAAAATATTATTTTTGTTTATTTTCAATAAATAAATTGCTTTACTGTAGTAAGAGTACCCAAAAACTCTATTTAAAATACAGGTCTAAAACATATAATATTATGAGTAATGTAACTAAAATTTATAAATAAAATGAAATTTTAAGTTGTTATAAATAAATGCAGATACAAAAACATCATGTTTACAAATAATATTTATTCTAAACACTGGTGCAAATAATATAAAAATTATAAAAATAATTTTGATTTTTAGCTGTCAAAAAATTTAAAGACAAAGTAAGAACAATGATCAATCATCGAAGATCACAGAAAATTAAATCATACACTAACTTTCTTGATGTAATGTTGGAAGATGATACTGTATACACAAATGACGAGCAAGTAAGCTTCTGATAAAGTTAGTTTAGAAATTAAATGTAAATAGTTTTTCTAGAATTTAAATATTTTTATTTACTAATATAGAATTTAATTTAAGCTTTTCTCTACTAAAATAAAAAAAAAAAACAATCAGTAAGTAAATTGGAAAATCATCACTAGAATCTCATTTGTGATTGCTTTGATTAACCACCAATAAGAAATAAATAATAATAAATAAACAATTTGTTGACTGGTTTTGATAAAATAATTTTTTACTTAATATTAAAAAACAGAATGTGTTCTTTTTGATCCAGCTTCTATATATACGTTGTATATATACTAATACTTTTAGCGCTATGGTTATATATATATATATATATATATATATATATATATATATATATATATATATATATATATATATATATATATATATATATATATATATATATATATATATATATATATATATATATATATATATATAAGTTGTATATATACTAATACTTTTAGCGCTATGGTTATTATTATGGTTTTTAGCGCTATAGTTCTCTTTTGTAAATAGAAGTGATTACAATTTAATAAAAAAAAGTTTATTGATTTATTTTTATATTTATATATGCATTGGATAACTATCTAATAAAAACAAACTACTAAGAGGGAGACTTGTTCTCTGTATTTCTTAAGTGAATAAAGAAATAGTCTTTTAAGTTTAAAATCAGCATTAAATTATATATAATACAATGTGATTACATAACAGCCATTCTGAATACACTAAATAAGGCTTGAATGACATCTATGTTTGATGCAATAGCGTTAATAAAAAAAGACTCTAGATATGAAGTTAAGTTATGAATAAAGCAACAAATAAAACATTTTCCGTATTTTATAATCTTATTTAAATATTTAGATTTTTTTTATATTTAAGTATCAAAATACTGTGTCATAATACAAACATCAATTTGATAAAATTTGTTGACTTGTTTGAATAAAATAAACTTTTTTTAATTAAAAAGCAGAATGTGTTCTTTTTGATCCAGCTTCTGAAAACATCAACTCATATATATACTAATACTTTTAGCTCAATACTTTTAGCGCTATGGTTACTAATATAACTTATTTTTAATTACTTCTAGGGTATCATAAAGTTTCATCCTGGATATTATATATTTTTTTTATTTATTTTCCTGATAATCTTAAGTGGCTTGTGATACGACTGTGTGATGTCATCAATTTTTGCTTAGAAAAGTGAATTTTGATCTTTTCTTTGTGACAGCTTCATTTTCTTAGTGAATATTAACCCAAGTAAAAAGTTATTGACACATTTGTTCATTAATATTTCTTATTACAATAATTTTGGTATTCTCATATTGATGAATAGCAACACTCTTACTTAGTCTTCTAATTTATTTATATATTCATTCATTGTCAAATTTCACTTTCAAAATAATGGTTACTCTTACTTATTTTTGTTACTTATTTTAAATTACTTTTACTTATTTTTGAGAAATGTAAAAAAAGTTTGTTTAAAAATATGAATTTTTCAGCATCTGTTTTTATTAATTTAAATCATTAGCTGAAAATATATTTCAGATAAACTGACCACTCATTGACCTCATCGTTTATCTGCAAAAAATCGTAAATTCAGTTTAAAGATTTTTAATCAAGTCGTTAATAAAAGTTCTAATTGCATGAGTTTGCATTTTTAATTTTGTTCAAATGTGATAAATAAAATAAAACATTTTAGATCTTGGACAATGTCATTGTATACATGATTGGTGGTTATCATACAACTGGAAACTGTATGTACTTATAATTATAACTGTATGTACTTATAATTTCTTATTAGAACTAAATAAGAATTTTGTTCTAAATTTCTACTGATATTAGGTATGGAAAATGATTTCAAAAGATTCAAACTTAGGTAGGATTGGATGAAATTAGGATGCAATTATGTTTCAGATTATTGATTGGATAAAGACTTTCTGATAAAAAGAATATGATATAATAGTTTTTATAATATCCTAAATATTACTATCTAATATTTATTTGATATTTAATTTTATTCTTTAAATTTTGAAAATAATTGAAAATTCACATTTTATAAATTTATAATCAATTTTGAATAAAATTTACTCAGTTAAATCTGATTCAGAAAACAAACTGAAAAACTTTTAAAAGCTAAAAAAAACTTTAAAAAGCTAGAAAAACTTATAAAAACTTATAAAAATTAAAAAAACTTTCAATGTAAAAAAGAAGAGTTATTATCAATAAAGCTTTTATATATTCATTGACTTTGGAAAAACAAGCATTCTTTTATTGATTTTTTAACAAGAAATAAAACAAAGAAATGTGCTTGTTAAGAATTCATACAAAAAAAAATCAACATTTTTGTGTACATATTAGTTAACAGTAATCAATAAAAGGTAGTAGTATGCTAGACTATGTATATAGCCACACTCTGTTTAATTAATGACAATATATTTAGCCACACTCTGTTTATTTAATTACAACATATTTAGCCTCACTCGGTTTAATGACAACATATTGAGTCACACTTGGTTTAATTAATGACAACATAATACATACAGTAACTTCAGTGAAAAATTGTTGATCAGTTAAACAATTTCTAACCACCACAGGAAACTTAATTCTCCATATTGCCAAAGCAACTTTAAAGCTGTTGATATGCATGAAATCTTTTTGGAAAAGAATTCAAACTGACAAAATTATGAATATCAGATTCATTCATTTAGGAAATGAATAACGTAAGATATGTGAAAGCTCCAAAATTTGCAAATCTGTTGAAACAATAAAGATATGGTTCCTCAAATAGATATGTTTATTTAAACAGCTTTAAAGTTACAATTTTTTACAGCTTGTTTATTTTACAACTTTAAAGCTACAATTTTTATAAGATATTTGAAATGTTTAAAAAAATTTTAAACTTTCATTCAGTAGGAGCAAAGAGAAAAATATCTTTAAAGTACCTTGAATTTCAGCAACTACTGGTTGCTCCCAATATGGCATGGTTTTAACATATTTTTTTTTTACAGATTTTAAGGATCACATAAAAATTTTATATTTTTTGATAATTGTTTATCTTTTATTATCAATTCTGCAGAAACCAAAATCAAGGTAATCAAAATATTTGCGGAATGCCAAATCATTTGTATACGCAATGAAAAAGAAAAAAATCTCTAAGGTTTTGAAAATTTGTAAGATGCGGTTAACTTTTAAAAATAACTGTTAAAGACTGTATTTATGTAGACTTTTTTGTTTTGCCAGAAATTCTTTGATCTCATAAATAACAAAAATCTCAAAACTTTGTTATTGGTTCATACAATGTAAGTACTTAAATGATATGAATTGATTAAAAGCTGTAAGAGGAAATTTAAATCTATTTTTCTAAAACTATTACAAATCACCAGAATCAAACTACAAAATATAAGAATTATTATTTATTTGAATGAATTGTTTTTATTTATAAAAAATAGCTAAATTAACACACACACGCACACATATATATATATATATATATATATATATATATATATATATATATATATATATATATATATATATATATATATTTTAAACATCTTCGCTTCCAACAAGGCTGTTCTTTAAACATCTTCGCTTCCAACCACTAAGTGTTGGAAGTAACTGGAAGAGAAAAGATAAAGATTGTAGAGCAAGATAACGATTGACAGACGACTTAAAAGATTGCAAATTATATGAATCAGGAAAGCAAGATGAAGGAAGCGAATTCCGAAGAACTGATGTTCGAGGGAAAAAACTAGACAAATAAGAATTTTTGGAGCACTTAGGAACAGTAACAGAAAAAGGATGACACTTAATTGAATGACGAGTAACACAAGAATGAATTTTAGTAGATGGCACAAGAGACGCTAGCTCTTTAGAGCAGTGCCCATTATAGTATGTGTAGAAAAGAGAAAGAGAAGCAACATTACAACGATGTGACAAAGGTTGTAGGTTGGCTGCAAGAGCAGGTCCAACTATGTCTACAATGCGTTTTTGCACCTTGTCTAAAAGAGAAAGGGCATCATTAGAAGATCCGCCCTAGATATGGCAACAGTATTCCATACAAAGTCGGATTTGAGATTTATAGAGATAGACAATAGAATCCAGAGTTAGAAAGTGTGTATATATATATATGTATATATATATATATATATATATATATATATATATATATATATATATATATATATATATATATATATATATATATATATATATTTATATATATATATATATATATCTGTGTGTGTGTGTGTGTGTGTGTGTTATTTTAGCTATTTTTTAAAAATTCAAACAAAAACAATTTTAAACATTCAAACAAAACAAGTTAATAAATAATGTTTAAAGTATTATTTGATTTAATTGATTTATAAAAAAATGTTATGATAATGACTTCATTTTCTCAGTGTCGAAAAAAGTGCTCTCATTATGTTTATTACAGGAGAACTTAATATTTAATATGTGTTTAATATATATTTTGAATACAATTCTATTTAATTTTTACTTCTTTATATAACTTTGTATAAAAATTAAATTAGGAATATATAAACTAAATACTAAAAATGCAGTGAACTAAGTTTTAGTTTTGTATACACATATTTAATAAGTTTTCATAAAAACAACAAATCAAGTAAGATGTTACTTGATTAAAAAATCAAGTAACATAGGTTAGACATTTCAAAATAAGTTCAAAATACAGGTAAAACTGAAGAAACTAAAAGCAAAATGCAAGCAATTAACAAACTATGCATCTGGCACATTTACAACATTTAGAAAGTCTCTGAAAAGAAATAGTGACTTAATGTATTAAAATTTTAAATAAAATCACTGTTTTCAATATAATTTTGCCATTGCACAAATGTGAACATGTCTCTTGCAAATTACAGATGTTACATTTTTATTGACATTTCTTAACCAAAAAACCAAATCTTAATCAAAATTAAAAAACTAAAATTTAAATTTGAAGCTTTAAATCTGTGCACTATTATTAAATATTAAAACTTTTTTTATTTTCAAAAATATTCTTATTTTTTAAAGATTATTAGGAATATTTATGATCTTTTGGCATGCTTGTAAATAAACTAAGATACAACTAAAGACAATTTTGTTTAAGAAACTCATCATTAATTTAATTATTTTTTGATATGGCTGTTATAATAAACAATTTATGCCCTTGGCATCAAAAGTCAAAAAAGCATTCTATTTTCATGGATGCCTATCAGTGTGTAAGAAATAAATTCAATTAAGAGTTAATTTAAAAATAATTATGATATATTAAGAATAACAGTTACATAAATAATAGTTATAAATAGATATAGAAATTTCCAATTTTGTAAAAACGCCTTATAATTTTTCTTAATAACACCCTGTTAGATTAAATATCATTTTTAACATCTTTTTTTAACTTTTTCACATTTGACTTTTTTTTTTAATCTAAACTGTATTTATTTAACCATATAGCTTAAAACCCTTTTTTTTTTTTTTTTTCAATGTAAACTTAAAAAAACTCTTTTCTAATTTTAGTATTGACATGGCTTGTTTATTTCTTATGTAAACATCCAGAAGTGGAATCTAAGGTATACAATGAGATAAAAGAATTTACAGAAGAAGATCTAGATATGGAATTACTTACAAAATTTAGGTAAATATGTTAGCAATATGTAAAAGTATATGTATGTATGTATGTATGTATGTATGTATGTATATATGTGTATATGTATGTATTTATGTATGTATGTATGTATGTATGTATGTATGTATGTATGTATGTATGTATGTATGTATGTATGTATGTATGTATGTATGTATATATGTATGATTGTATGTATGTATGTATGTATGTATGTATGTATGTATGTATGTATGTATGTATGTATGTATGTATGTATACATATATATGTATATGTGTGCATACACTATCATATTACATCATTGGTAATTTTATGTATTACATCATTATAAATTTAAAAAAATTTTAAAGTTAGACAAGTTATAAAAAAAAGTTATAAATAAATGAATGATTTATATCCTAATTATCTCATTTTTATTTTATTATTTAAAACTGATTTGCACTTTTACTGCTATTTTATTAAAGGTTAAAAATTAATTAAATATATCAATTTAAATAATAAGATTAACTAAAGTTAATTAAAGTTAAAAAAATATTTGCTTAATAATTTTATATTTATGAAATTCATTTGTGATGATAAAAAATATGTTAAACAAGTTTTTTTCTCAAAATAAGTTTATATCTTAAAATTAGATAAGCTGAAGTTCATTAATTATAAGACATTTTTTTTACACTTAGAATTATGTGACAAAACTTTACACTTACAAAAACGTTATGCAACAAGCTAAGCTTGTAAAGCTTCTTTACACTTAGCTAAGTGTAAAGGTGCTTTACATTTAGCGTTATGCAATAAAAATCTCCATCAGTTTAAATTTGCAATAGATTGCAGAGAAATGCCATGTTTAAAGTTGCAATGTAAACTCTGAAATTATTTAGCGACCAAAAGTTTTAGTATTCACTTATCTAATGAATATATATATTTTTTAGTATTTTATATTGATTTCATATTTTTTCAGCCTTAACTCTAATAAATAAAATATTAATCTAAATTTTAATGCTTTTTTTTTTTTAAATGATTGAATATTTTTTAAAACATGTATTAAATAGTTTATTAACTAAATTTTTAAAGTATTTTTAAGTACTAATAAATTTAAAAAATAAAAAAAGATGTTTATGTTTCAAAGTTTATATTTCAGTTACACAAAGCAAGTTATTGATGAAGTTATGAGAATTGCTGTACTTGCTCCATATGCAGCTAGATATTCGGATTATGATATAATCGTTGATGGACATCTAATACCAAAAAAGGTTTATACTAATATTAATAATAGTAAAAATATTAAATAATAATATTTTTTTGCATATGCGACACAATGATCGCAAAAAGTGACCAATGGAGCCGTCCAGTTACGCAGATCTGGGAGATGTGAAAATAAAAACAGATTGAAGATGATGTCATTTAGGTAAAAAAACATAAATTAATGTAAAGATTATTTAGTAGGAGGAATAAAAGTTAGCAACTCATGAAAAGAGGAATAAAAACTCACACTCTAGTCATCTTTTAGCAAATGATAAAACAATGATCTATGAGTAAACAAGTCAATAAAAAATCCGCTGGTTTATAATGGTATTCATAACTAAAGTAATCGCACCATACAAGTGTTTAATAAATGTGGTACTATATATGCTCTAAACTCTAGATAAAAAATTGAGAACTGATAATCATCTGTGTAACATAAAAATATATAAATGTCGTTAATGTAACAAATTCATAATAAAAAGCTCACAAAGCGCAAAAATACATGGGTTTAAGAGGTAAAAAAATGTTGGTGCCATAATAACCAATTAGAATTAAGTAGTGGATAAATGGTGATTCCCCTCCTCAGGAATGCACTGCGATCACCAATGACTTTTCGGAGAGCTCGAGACCTGCACTAGCACCACTCGTCAGGGGCGTGTCCTTGCAACAGATCTCACCGCCTGCACTCTACGTCATGCTAGTCAATATTGCAATATAATAGGACTACACTACAAAAGCCAAAAAACCCAATCCCTATCCCAGTTTTTGAAAACAGCTCCAACATTCTTAGAGATCTCGTGAGGGTGGTGAGGAATGCGCGTGGTGTGACCATAAACAGATATGTAAACACATATAAATATAAGGTACCCTTACATTAGAAGAAACAAACTTGTACACATGTACATATGCGCGTGTGTAAATAAACAATTATAATGTGTAGAAATAACAAAAGGCGAATAGAAAATAGTAATTAATAATTAATAGTAACTTACCGTTTCTTTTATGGCTGAAATATGTATTATAAATATAATAAGTAAATACCACTCATAAGCATTGATACTAAGTTAAGATGTTTTGTGGTTAGTATGAAAGTAGTTAAACAAAAGTATGATAAAAAATATATAACTCTAGATAGTATGTTCTCATATAAATCTTGCCTGGTAAGTAGAGACAATAGCTATCACACAAAACAGACTCAGAGTAATTAAATAATGATTAGCCAGAGATAAAAAAATATACGAACATCAAATCAGTAGGCAGAAAATAATGAGGAAATAAAAAGATAAGACAATATATGCGATTTTAAACTAATAGCTTATAACCACTGAAAAATGTAACGTTAAAAAACAATATTGTTGACAAAACGACCAAAGGAACGTTAGTGAAGACTGTATAGTGTAAACCACAACAAACTAACTTAGCGACGTCAAATCGAGAAAATTAGATAGAAACAAAAAAACCTAACGAAATCGTGATTAGTCTAAACTTATCTAATGAAATTGTACAGTATATTCCAACCAAAAATACATTTGTTATAAAAAATACGCTAATACATACTTTTGTGTAAAATTTTTGCGCTGTTATACTTCTCACAAATATACGGCCTCATTCACACATAACACAAATCTGAATAAATATACAAGGATAATGTAAAAAAAAAAAAAAAAATGATATAATCGTTGATGGACATCTAATACCAAAAAAGGTTTATACTAATATTAATAATAGTAAAAATATTAAATAATAATATTTGCTGCTTTATGGATGATAATTGACACAATGGAACAAAGTTTTCATTTAAGTTTTATGGTTATATATGTAGTTCGTTCTGCACTTTCAAAGTATATGCTAAGAATGCCATGTGAATAAAATATTGATAAACGTACATACTTATTAGCTCAGTAACTGACTAGTAACTTCAAACTTATAATAATACCGTTCAACTTACTTTCCATTATCTTTTTAAAAAATATTTTTTATAATGCATATCCGAAATCTCCCATTCATTATATAGGAGCACTGCTTACACAAGTAACTTCTTTTAACTACTTCAGGTCAGGTCAGGATTTAAACAATCACCCTGCTACTGATAACATTTAAACCAGTACAACCTGCCCCATATCCTGCTACCTTTTAAGATTCCCTTTTCTAACAAGGGCTAAGAGAAATAAACTCTGACTTGATACTGAGATTTACTTTAAAATATCCCTTAAGTTCTTGGTTGAGCAAAGAGATAATATAAAGGAGATAATATAAAGAGATAATATCAATAAAATGTTTATCTTGGGCAGATTTTAATTGCATTCATTCATAATTCATTTATCTACTGTTTTGTAGAAAGCCTCCTAGGAAAAGGCAGAAAAATTATTTCAAATAGCCTCAAACCCCTTCTTCATTTATTTAACTGTTGCAGAACATTTATTAGCTGTTGCAGAATATTTATTAGCTGGATCTTGGATCTTCTTAATTCTACTCATGGGTTTTTGCTTGTGCCTCTTTGATAGTGACCATGCAACTCTTTCTGTTGTCTTCTAAAGAGGCTATAGCTGTAAAATTCAGTTTAATATTTTTGAGGCCAACTGATAGAAATATTTCAGAATCTTTGTGAGAGAGGCTGATTCTATCTAAAGCTGTAAAGTATCAGTATTAACAGTGTCATATTGCGCATGGATGTTGTCCCTGTTAGCGCTTTTGATATTTATTGTCGAAGCCACATAAGGAGCCCTTGATTTTGGATTTGTAACATAAATTTTACTATATATATATATATATATCTATGTGTGTGCGTGTGTGTGTTTGTGTGTGTGTATATATATATTATGTATATATATATATATATATATATATATATATATATATATATATATATATATATATATATATTTAATACCTACTGAAAGAGAAACAAGCTGTTGATGTGTTGTTGATGAACAACCTACTGATCTGTTAATGAACAACCTACAGATAGAGAAACAAGTTTCCAAATGAACCTATTGATGGAGAAACAAGCTGTCAAAGATAAAAATTAAATAAGTGTTCTTTAAGAATATTGAGCACTCTACTTGTGGAATACACTAACATAATTTTTATATATACACACACACACAAGTTCGTGAAGATCTAAAGGTAAAAAGTCCATTAGCTTCATAGGATTCGAATTATCTTTTACTTTTTTCTCCGTAGTTTGCACTGCTTCATCGCTATTGATAGGAGTGGTTGCTAGATTATCCATTGATGTTTGTATTTCAGACCTTAATCCAATAGGAGTAAAATATTTAGTAGAAACCATAGTTTCTTGACCATTACAAATTTCTCATTAAATTTAGTTCCAGCATCAATGCAGCAGTTTTGAATTCACACAAGTTTTCATCATGTGATAGTAATAATTTTAACTACTTTGATTGTAATGAATAAACAACTCTTTTTTTTTTAAATCTTTTTTATTGTAATGAATTTTATTGTAATAAACAAATGGCTCGAAAGAGCTGACAAACAAATGAAAGAGCTGTAAATGTCTTTATAGGAAAGAAAAGTAATATACAACACAATAGCATACATAGTGTAAATTTAAAAAAAAAAAATTGATTATATTGTTTTTTTTTCAATACAAAAGTGTTTTTAATCCTTTTTTAAATAATATGTTGAGTTTTAATTTTAAAATTTTTCACACATTTTATTTTTTCTTTTTATTATAAATTTATTTTTTGTTTTTTTTATTATTAGACACCTATCATATTAGCTTTGGGTACTGTTTTTCAAGATGAAACTATTTTTCCTGAACCTGACAGGTTTTTAAATTTTATATGTATTAATTTATTTTACTTTTACATATTTAGGTGTTGGTTTTATTTTTTCCTTTTTTTTTACTAATACAAAGTCTCTCTTAAGTAAGATTTTTTTTTTATGTCAAACTAATTGACTTTTAAGAAGGCTGCAGGCAACAACTATTAAGTTAGGAGTTGCTAGAAACCAAATAATAGTGTTAAAGAGCAAGGAAACAATTGACAGAAGACTTAAAATGTTGTAGGTTGTATGAGTCAGAAAACCATGAAGATTCAAGAGTTTTTAGAGCAGTTAATTTTAAAGTTACGTGAAATGAGTGTTGGTCTTCAAGGATGATTTCAATACTGCATTTAGAAAAAAATGATTTACAAATTTATAATAAATATATATATACAGCAAGCTTATGGAGATGTCCAGGTTGCCACACTTATCAAAAGTTTTTGATATGTCAAGAGTAATAGTGCATGTATTATTGCCTTTTAATCTGCCTCTTGGCCTCCATCTAATGCACAATAGAATCTTTCAGTCACAACAGTCAGCAAGACAGACATAGAACAAGAAGATCAACTAGCACATTGATTTTCAGAGAGTAAGTTTTACTTCAGTTAACAAATTTCTGGCATCTCAAGATGAAATTTTAGAAATGAAGACTCAAAGACCTACACTTTTAATTCACCTCCATAAACCCAAGGAGGCCACTACAGATAAGAAAGCTACTTAATTGTGGTTATAACTCTCTCTCAACTCTATAACTCTGGTTTACCAAAAGCCTCTTATTTTCAAAAAAAGACATTTATTTAAGACTATATATCCTAGGGCCCTGCGAAACTTTGGCATTTAGAATCAAATCAAATCAGAAAAGTGATTTGAGATTCAATTCAAAAGTTCCATGTATTTGAATCAAGCTAGTTTTATAAAAACGTTTATTTTATAATATTTTGTAAAGTTAATGACTCTAAAAATATTTAACACCTTTGATTATAAACGGGAATATGACAAATAAAGACTAAACACATTTTGATTTCTGCAAAATGTAAAAGTAACAAATGTAACTTATTATGGCAATCAATACTCTAGTGCACTAAGTTATAAATTAAGGTCTTATTATAAATAGCTGTTTTAAATATCCAACCAAATTTTGGCAAGTGAAGTTTTCATTTTTAAAATTTTCTATATACGTATTAGAAATAGTGAAAAATTAACTTTTTTATGATTTAATTCGATTTGCAAAAATATAGGTGACTTGGTTTGAGATTTCATTTGATGTTAAAGTTTCTGGTTTACGTAATTAGTCCTTACTCAAAATGTTTATTAAATAAAATATTTGTGTATTTTAGATGTATCCTTATTCTAAAAAAAATATTGTATTGGTTCTAATCTAAATAAGAAACAAAATATTCTAGCATCTTTGTTAACTTTTTTTAGAATTTAAAATTTTGTCTTAAATTTTATTTTATATTGAGTTTTATCTAAAATTTAATTCTTTATTAAATTTTTCTAAAAGTTTGAAACTTACAAGATTTATTTGGGAGATTTTTTATATGACAACCTGGGTCTCAAATGAATATTTTGAAAATTTTATATTTTGAAAAGTCTTTTTTTAAATAAATTATTTGAATATTTTTTATACAAGGGCGTTCTATAGCAGTACAAATATGAGATTTTATACATGTAGAAAATAAAATTAAGAATTAGCAATTGTCATGAAATTTTACTGGATACTCACGGGTAGCTGTGTACTGCAAACCCAGATAGTATTACGGGTACCTCTCTACTGCAAAACCAGATAGTATCACAGGTACCTGTGTACTGCAAACCCAGCTAGTATCACGGGTACTTGAGTACTGTAAAATGAAATTTTACTGGGTATTCACGGGTGTACCGCGTACTGTACTATAATGAAAAGATCCTTGTCATTATGCAAAAGTGATACAATGTTGGGGGAGGTGAGGTTTTTAAATCCGTGCTGAAGTTAACTTGCCTAAATCTTGCATAAGAAAGTTCTGAAAATAAAAACTTTTAGTTTAATTTTTAATAATGGTAGAAGTTAATCCTTGAAATGTAATCTTCATAAATACTCAATCATGACCTGCGAATTAAGATATAAAGAGCGTTTGATTGTATAAATTGCATCAATTTTTTAATAATGTCGTATTTCTATAAAAAAAATAATATTATGTAAATCCGTCTAAATTATTCAACTGTTGGAACCACGAACATAAGGAGAATATAAAATAGTGAAAATAACGATTACGAAAAGAGGACCGAAACATGTAACGGAGCAACGATTTGGGTTGTTTTTTTAAGTAAAAAAGATTTAACTGCCACAAATTCTTAACTAGTACACAAATCTATCTAAAATTTTGTCCAGAATTTGATGTGGCCGTAAGTTACATTCGCAGTAATTTTTTTATAAAAAGTGGTTCTAAATCTACAGGTATTTTTCATCGGCGTGCTATGAGGTCTTTCAATTTAAACAAATTTGAATTTTGAAGAATTTCAAAGTTCACATCACAAGGTACTTTGATATACACTGTATAGTTATTTGTTTTTATACTAACTTTTACATTGATATGATTTTACTTAATTGTTTTTAGATTTGACCCTGACCGTTTTAGTGATAAACAAATTGAAGAACGTTCAGCGTTAGCTTTTCAGCCGTTTGGATTTGCGGGAAAAAGAAAGTGTCCTGGATATAGATTAGCATATGCTGAAACATTGACGTACACATTTTATATCATCAAGAATTTTCATATTTCGCTATTCGATAAGCAATCTGTGAAAATGCATTATGGTTTTGTCACAAAACCGTCTGAAGAAATTTGGATTAAAGTGTTACGACGTAAAAATATCTAGTTCTGCATTTATGTTAGTTTTAACTACTTTATTTGAAAACGAACTTTTTTTTTTTTTTAATTGTTAATTATATTTTGAGAAATTCTTTTGACTTTTTTATGGCGAGTTGGGGCATCTGCAGAATAGAGTAAATTAGTGGAGGAAAGAATACAACTTGATGGTTTTTAGTAATTCGCGTTCACGAAATCAAAATTTGAATTTTCGATTGGAAAAAAATCGAAAATCGATCGAAATTCTGTTTTTTTTTTTTTTTTTTTCAGTAAGTTCAAAACAATTACTAATTAATTATTTTTGCGCCAAGATAAATTTAACTTTTGGAAATTCAAAGTATTCTATAGTTTTTAAATAATCGAAATCATTAAAATAGCACCAAATCTATTTTTCACTTTCGAAACTTTGGAAATGGTACCGAAATATTTTTATATGATAGAAATTTTTAAAATAGAACCTTAATGTTTTTTACTTTTGAAAATCTATAAGCTGCTTCAAAATATTTTTAGGCTATTGAATTTCTAAAATTGGCAACAAAATAATTTTTCATTTTCGAAACTTTATAATTTGTATCGACGTATTTTTATATTATCAAAAGTCTGAAAAGTGTATCCAAAATATTTTCTACTTTTAAAGTTTTAAAAGTTGCTTCGAAATATTTTTTTTTATTAAAATAGATAATTCCAAAAAATTCAAACAATAGTCAACTGACAACACAAAACAACTTTTAAGAATAAAAACTGCATCTTAACGTTTTTGGATTATTAAAATTCTAAAAATTAAGATAAAACAAATCCTAAAAACTCATAATATATAAATAATGTGTTATTTAACTCTTAGGTACCTCAATTGACAATAGGTTATTTTAATTTACAAGTTTATTTATTACCATATTAAAAGTAAATAATTTAAAAATCAAAATATTAACTCATCACACTTAATTATACTATCAAAAAATTTTTTAATACTTTACTTTGTTGAACAACTTCATGCAGGGTATCTTCAAATGAAATTGTTTCTAAAAAATCTTTGTTTAGATTCATTATCATCCAAGATTGTAAATTTTTCAACGATAAACGATTTCTCAAACGGGTTTTGATGTAAGTCAATGTTGAAAAGCTTCTTTCACAAGCAATTTGGGTACATGATAATGTCAAAATATATTTATTTGCAGAAAACAAATGATTATATGATGAAACATATAATCTATACTTGAATAAGACTTGATAACAGCACATTAAACAACTTAAACAACGTTTTTTTTCAAAACACTTTTCTACTTTATGTCGACTAATTTCACCGTCATCAATTATTCTTGATTCGTCTATATCTTCAACTGCATCATCACTATCATCATCTTCTCTATTTAATAAATAAGTCTCAGGTAAATTTAATTTTAATTTATCCCATTTAGAAGCAAAATCTAAAAGCTCGTCTTTTAACACAGAACTTTCAAATCCAAGAATTTTTGATAATTTAACTAGAGCAGTATTTGGCGATTCATTCGAAAAGTTTCTTGGATCAAGACAAGCAAAATCAGCACACAATTTTGAGTGTTTTTTGAGTGTTTGTAAAACCGTCGTTTCAACTTTGAAATAACTATATATCCAATGCTACATTATGAACAAATCAAATCAAATTTATTCTGAATAAAAGGTCTTACATCAAGGATATTTACAAATAGTAATGATACTAATCTGAAGTAAACACCTATAAAATTTAATTTAAATAAATAGTGATAACAATAAGAATAAAAATTAAGAAAAAAAGTGATAAATGTAAGAAAAGAAATAATAGTAATTGTAAAAATAATGTAACGAAATTAATAACATTGTGTTCAAATTTTTCTATTGGAGTTTTTGAAACATTATTTTCACCAAAATTTCGATTTTTTATGAAAATATTTAACTTATATTTCTATGATACCCACTATCTTAATTTACAAATAAGTTTTCCTCGATATATTTTTATTGTACCTAAGTAGCAGCAACTGTGACTTATATTGGTGGCCCATTGTAAATAAGATATGAGCGGCCCATCGGGGCTTTCTCCGGCATCCCGGTGGACAACCCCGCTTCAACGCTTTGGAGAGGTCAATGAATGCACCTTAAATAAATTCTTTGTTAGCAAAAAAATTTTTTATTTTCTTTATTACGTTTAGAATTGCTTCTTCAGTTGAAGTGTTTTTCTGAAATCTAAACTGTTTTGAATAAAATAAGTCATTACCTTTAAATGAAGCTATATAATCTATTAAACATAATTCGTTCAAAATTCTTAGAAAAAATGGAAATAATCCGGTCAAAATAGACAAAAAAATAGTGGTAGATTTGCAGTAATTCGCATTGAGCTGAAAATTGATACATACCTTGAGTACATTATAACAAATAAAGTATTAAAAGTCCCCATCGATGCCATATCTGCAAAAAAAGTTATTCAAGGTCAAAGGTAAAAAAAAAAAAAATTGTTTTTTTTTTTAAAAAAAAGGAAATGTTTTAGCATAAAAATAAATCAAACAAATGAGAAGCGCATTTTAACGCGTTTTTGAATAAACTGTTGCAGCGGCTTTTCTTTGATCTTGTATAAGAACGATGATAAATGCTGTTTTCGAATAATTTTTTAAACTGATTTTTCTCGTCTGATTTTCTCAAAATTCTTGGAACAAAGTTACGAACGATGAAATAATTTTAGTGTTGAACGTTCTATTGCAGTGAATAGCATTGAGTAGTATTTTTTATTACGATTGGAACCGTTTAATACTTTTATTAAAATGTCGCAACTATGTTTTATTTGTAGTAAACTTTCAACATCAAGTGAAACTGTTGTTGTTGATCGTGGAATGAAGACTTTGATTGATACGAGAGTTAAAAGAAGTGAGGGTTTTTATGAATACCTGAAAGATCTGAAGTCTGTTACGATTCATGTGGTGTCGTAAAAAGTAAACTCGGAAGAGTACTATTGATGCATTTAAAAGACAACATGGTTTAGATCAAGTCAGCACATCTGAAAAGAGTACACTTCGTACTAGAGCGCGCGTAATCACTTTTTTGTTTTAAAAAATGTTACTTATTTTACGGCGATGAAGCGAACGAGGAGGCCAAGAAAAAGAAAGCGATGAAAGTTTTTTTTTGAAATTCATAAAGTTGCTACTTTTGAATTTAAAGAATCAATTCTGAAGGTAGCATGGAGTCGTTCTGATGAGGAAGCAAAAAAAGGTTACTGCACGCAATGAGTATGAATTTGATTTAATTGCTGCTGAGGCTAAATACCATAATATCTATTATAATTCTTTCTTGAGACCAACCAATGGGTGTAAAGTCACTCATCCTCAAGAATGAATCTACGAATGTTGCGATGGAAGAAATATTTAAATACATTGAAAACAGCAATGATTGCCAGTTTTCATTAGAAGAATTAAAAAATATTTGCAAAAATCCACATTTAGATAACAGAACAATTAAGACACAATTAAAGTTGAAATTCGGTAATAAAATTATTGCCACTGAAAATCAACGTTTATTTGTTTTTTGAACAGTCATAACGATATTCTTACCCAAGCTCGGTATGAGAAGAAAAGCCAAAATAAAGAAGAAGAACGATTTCGAATTTTAAAAGTTGCGGTAACAATCATTCGAGAGGACATTTATTCATTAGTATTTGATAATACCAATTATCCCTCGCCTAGTCAAATGTTTGAAGATATTAACAGCGATATTCCAGAGTCATTACAGTTTATTCACCAACCAGCAAGTAACTACAATACAATATACACGATTTTACTTTGTGCTTTAGAAAATGCGAAACATTACGGCCACGAAGTATGCATTATTACTTTCGATCAACCTCTGTATGCAAAAGCTCGAGAAATTGTATCTGCAGCACCTGATGGATCTGAATTATTAAAGATCATAATAAGACTTGGAGGATTTCATTTATTAATGTCATTTTTTTAGATCAATTGGTTATATTATATAAGGAAGTGGCATACAAGAGGCACTTTCATTAGTTTATGCACCAAAGTCGTTAAAAAAAATGCTCAATGGCCATGCTTATGCTAGAGCTGTTGGAGCCCATACATTACTTCAGCTCACTTTAGCTATAATAATTTCAAAAGATCTTGCTATTGATGATGAGATGGTAAAAAAACTTGATACTACCATTAAGGATGTCATAAATAACAAAGTTTCGTATTGCGATATTGAAAGTGGCGTTGATAATGAAATGTGCGATTTCTTTATAATTACTTTATAAGTTCAACGAAAAACTAAAAGAATTTGAAAAACGAGGACCTACATCAAAACTATGGATACAATATCTTAATATGGTGTCGATTGCAAAGAAGTTTATTAGAGCTGAACGCATGGGAGATTGGCAAGGTTATTTGAACAGCATTAAAGAAATTCTTCCTTATTTTTACGCATTGGGACATTTTTCTTATGCTAAGTCTGGGCACTTATATCTACAGGATATGCTAAATTAGAAAAGTTAATGAATCAAAGTGTTTATCAACCGTTTATCGAAAAATTTATCATTGTTAAACGTTCTGATAAACTCAATTGTGGTACTTCAACGGATATATTAATTGCGCAATCAATGATGAAATCAATAAAGACATATGGAGGTATTTCTCAAGGAAGAAGTGCAAAAGAGAGTGTTATAAGTAAATGGGTTTATGGCATGCTTGCAACGAACACTGTAAGTGAAGGATTAGAAGATCTTGCTGATATTAGAACGTATACAACAGATCAGCATGTAGATGCAAGTGATTCACGAATAAAGAAAGATGATAAAGATATTGAAAAACTTCAGCAGTGGTTTTTATCACATGATTTTCCTAAAATTAAAGAAATCATTTCAATTGCTAGTGGAATGGTTGGTGATAATAAAATCAACTGTCATAAAGCTCGTGAAGTTGGGATTGCTTCCATGTCTAAAATGATATTAAAGCTAATATTAAAATTATTAAAGCTGCAGAACAGCGTCGTCGAACCGCAAAAGTATCTTCTTCATCTGATGTCATTTTTGATCAGTTTATGACAGTTCCAACAAACCAATAACAATTCCTTTCCAATACTCATAACAAGTCTCGCTTCATTTTTATGTTATGCAAAAGATTTACAGCTGCAAAGATTATAGTGAAGCAAGTAGATAAAGACGCTGATGTCCTTATAATTGAAA